GTGGCGCTTTGTCCAAGATTTGCAAGCTATTAATGCTATTGTCATTCCGACAGCTCCAATTGTGCCGGACACCAATTCGATTTTAGCTTCTCTGCCCCCGGACTCTAAGTACTACACAGTGATTGATTTATGTTCAGCATTTTTCTCTGTTCCTCTGCATCCAGACAGCCAGTATCTGTTTGCATTTACTTTTAAAGGTAAACAAATCACATACACGCGCCTCCCACAGGGGTTTGTTGAGTCGCCTACTGTGTACGCAGCAGCTGTGAGGAGAGATCTGGACACTTTGGTCCTGACAGGAGGTAGTACCTTGCTTCAGTACGCAGATGACCTGTTGTTAGCTTCTCCCAATAAAGACGCCTGTCGCATCGACTCCATTGTGCTCATGAAAAGACTTTCTGAATGCGGACACAGAGCATCCCTGGCCAAGTTGCAATACTGCCAGACTGAGGTCACGTATTTGGGTCACATTCTGAGGGATGGACACCGTCTCCTCTCGCCAGCAAGGATTTGTCTGTTGAACAAAGTACCACCACCTCGCACAAAGAAGGACATGCTTTCCTTCTTGGGCATGGCAAATTATTGCAGACACTGGATTTTTGAGTATGCTGCGATGGATTCTGTCCTGCGTGCTGCCACTCTGCAGGCTGCCCCTAACATTGTTCAGTGGTCTGAGGACATGCACACTGCCTTTCAGGACTTAAAGCAGGCCCTCACAACTGCTCCTGCCCTGGGGCTCCCTGACTACCATCAGCCGTTTCACCTGCACGTCCATGAGAGGGGGGGCTTTGCAGCGGGCATCTTGGTGCAGAAGCATGGCTCTAATTTCCGGCCTGTTGCATACTACTCATCTCGACTCTCCCCTGTGGTGCTTGGTATGCCTTCATGCCTGCGGGCTGTGGCCGCAGTGGCGATAGTGGTAAAACAATCCTCTCCCATTGTACTGGCCAGTGACTGTGTAGTACATGTCCCACATGCAGTTTTGCATATTCTGAACACCTCTGCTACTCAGCATATGACGGCAGCAAGGCGATCTGGTTATGAAGCTGTAATTCTTTCAAGTCCACACATCACTCTTAAACGTTCCCCCCCCCTAAACCCAGCTACACTGGTGCCAATTCCAGATTTTGAAATAACACATGACTGCGTCACAACGATTGACATGTCTTCCTCCCCCAGAGCTGATATGTTGCAAACCCCTATCCCTAATTCAGATATGATTCTGTACACAGACGGGTCTGCGAGCAGGCCGTCTGACACAGTACACTTAGCAGGCTACGCTGTTGTGAATGACTGGGAAGTTTTAGAAAGCCGAGCCTTGCCAAATGGCACGTCAGCTCAGGCTGCAGAGTTGTATGCTCTGCTCAGGGCGTGTATTTTGGCTGAAGGTAGAATTGCAACCATTTTCACAGACTCCAGGTATGCATTTGGTGTGTGCCATGATTTTGGTGTCTTGTGGAAAATGCGCGGTTTCTTAACATCGGCTGGTAAGCCTATTCAACATCATGCGTTAGTCTGGCGTGTGAAGGCAGTCACCATCATCGTCATTCTGGGTTTACTGTACCTGGCCAAGAACGCCCTGCTAGATGAAGCTGTGACAATCCCAACGACAGGTGGCGAGGGACCTCGCCCGTCTGAGGGAGAAAATAAGGTGCTCTTATCTAAGAGCGCAGACGACTTGACCACTCAGGGTCCAGACCCTGAGGGCAAAACAACACCAACGGGCAAAGGAGTGCCTAGCGACAAGGACAGGTTGTATCCAAACACCACACAGACACTCAGTATGGTGCAAGAGACACAAAGAGAGAGAAAAGGAGGGAGAATAAGGAGGATTGTCTCCCTCCCTGATCATAAGTCAGAGACTATTGCCGTTAACTGCCCAAGTTCAATATGTGACTCATCTAACTGTATTATTGTGTTTCCTGTGTTCTCAGTTTACTCAACATGGGAGTTATATCCAGAAAACCAGTACTCTTGGTTCAGGGTCGCACCAGAGGGGGTAAGGATGGTTCTTAACACCATCGAAGAAATGCCCCCAGAACTGTGGTGTAGCACGATAGAACAGTTCGAGGCACTGATAAGGAAGGAGGTAAAATGTACAGTGCGGAAGCCAGATTACCGCATTCCCAATCTAGGTGATACTGCATGCACAGTTACTGGACCAAATAGCAAAACAAATGTTCCATCTACTCCACTTAAACAATCAGGAGGCGAGGTAGATTCTTCAAAAAAGGCCTTAATTACTCCTTTTAAACAAACTAAAACTAATTCTGCAGTAAGTTTAATGTTAGACTATGCACATGAACGTAATGTTAGCAACTGTTGGTTGTGCCAAAATATGCCAGAATCAATGCATTCTCCTATGTTTAGCCCAATTCCTTTCACAAAAGCTGATTACGGTTTAGTAAACTGGAATGACATAGCATCTAGAATTAGCGATGAGGCTGGGGATTGTTACACTCCTTCCTACCCAATAGACTCTGAAAAACCTTTACAGTACAAGGGCTTAGTCTCTCTCATTGTTGATACAGTAAATAAAGATTACCTGCCTGACGGTTCCAAACGTTTGATGTTTTTAAAATTAATATATATGAAGAAATACGTTAACCTAGCTTTTGAATATAGATTCCAGTTAGCTCTAGCTCAGACTAATTGTTCAGCTAACTTTACAAGTCCAACATGTACAATGCAACCACACACACCCGCTTTGTTAGTGGAAGCGTTGGTAACAGTTGTGCCCTGGTTCGGCTCTAGGACAGTGGACTCCGTTGAGGTTAAAATACATGACTGTACGCAGCCAATACCCTTAGGCAAGCCCCCTACACGTGACTGCTCAGTATATGTCCCCCCAATTGTTGTGCATGAATGGAAGAATGTGTCCATCTGTTTCCAGAATGCAGTAGGATCTCACACCTCTCCTGATGTGGGACACAGCGACTGTAACGCCATAGTGAGAGTACATATAGCCAGAATTCCCCTCCCACAGAGAGTTTACTTAGTTTGTGGGGATCGCGCGTACGGCTGTGTGCCATATGATGTTTTTTATGGTACCTGTTATCTAGCCTACCTAATCCCTTTAATCCGTAAAGTAGAGGCTACTGAGATTGCAGCAATACTTCCCTCTCTACACAGGAACAGCAGGTCAATTACACAAGGACAACAGATAGCTAGCCTATTCTTGCCTTGGTACGGTATTTATGTTACTCAGCAGGAAATTGTCGCATTGTCTAAAGTGGTGGAACATCATTTAAATGTATCCAACACAGCGATGTTAGCTGAACACAAAGAATTGCAGGAAGTTAGGACAGTAGCACTACAGAATCGTATGGCGCTTGACCTCCTCTTAGCGGCCCAAGGAGGAACATGCAAGGTGATAGGAAGTGAGTGCTGTTCTTTCATATCTGATGCCACACCTGAAGTTATGGACATGGCTCATGATACTGCCAGGGGAATAAAAGAATTGCATGAAACTCATGGGTTTACATTTGGGGAATTAAGTGGAACTTTTGGATCTTGGGGAGCGGGGCTGGTTAAATTTGTTGTTACTGTTTCAGTGTTTATCTTGGTTGTGCTAATCCTAGTGATCTGTTTGATCACTGTAGTTAAATTAGCCATACGAAGGGTTGCCAAGACCGCCCTCCAGGCCCCACAAAGGCTAGTTGGACATTCAACTGTACAGGACACAATATTAATGTACAATGCCGAGCTTCCGGACCCCTGGGTCTCCATCGTGATCTCCGACCCGTGGGTACCTCCATTCAACGATTGAGATGTTGTTTAAAGTTGATATTCTGAATAAAGAACAGATGTTTTGATAATTGATTACAGTTGATACACTGGATTAAAGGACAAATGTCTGATTTTTCCTTTGCAGGTTGTGATACAAATAAAATGTCTGATTTTCCTTTTCAGATTTTGAACAAGTGTATTTGAATGAAATAAATGTATTACTAAGTGCCTTACTCTTGAATAAAGCGTAATGAAGTAAACGTAAAGTAATGTTAAAGATTGAGGACACTGTAACTTTACAGATTACAGATTGATCGATTCATCACTGCGAATGTATACCTTAAACTAGGAACCTTAGCTGGATCTCTCATGATTCTGATTTATACCTCAATTGGATTTCTCATAATCCTAAATTATACCTCAATTGATTTCTTATAATCCTAATTGTGTTTTTTAATAAGTAATTGCATTAAAGTAAATCTTTAAGATGTAAGCTGATTTAGAATCTGTGTTTGATGAAGGAGATTAACTGAGTGATAAATGATAAAAGATCTTATTTTTGAAACATATATTTTGCTATAATATTTTGTACCCCATGTGTTTATTATTGTACCTTTTGACAAAAATGCCAAGCACTGAAGAGAGATGATTTTTATTATGATTGACTGTGTTCAATCATGGTGATTGAAGTATTTTTCAATCTTGTTCTATTTTTAATGTAATGAATGTATCTGAGCCCACCCAACTCTGAGGACGCCTATTGATTTTAAGTATTGACTGAAATATTCTTAGACTAATGTTAATTGGTTATCAATAGATTGATAAAAAGAGTGAATCTGTAAGAGAATATTTTCATCTGATCTGTTTATAGAGTCTTTTATGGTTCCTTAGAGTCTGTGATACTGCAAACATCTGCTTGTAGTCAGTCAGAGACTTCTCTGTGGGTTGAGGTCACAGGTCAAACGCGTCTCCTATGTCCGAGGGTTGACCTGGCAGCATCTCTTTGAGACAAGCAGATCATTGTCTTGCATCGGCTAATTGATTATACGCGGGCTTTCTGGAAGCCCGCCTCTCCTCGTGTTGGTTAGATGTTTTGTGTCTTTTGGTTCAGAGAGATCGCTGGTGGAGCACTGGGCATGTGTGAAACTTAGATGATCTCCCCGGCCGTATGTAATTAATGTACTGTGATCAATAAACTCTTCAGTGCTTTTGGCTAACAACGGTTCCAGACTCCTTCATTCTACCTCAACATTGCAACAACAGAAGTTTACCTTCACAGTGATGGTGATGATGGTGGCTCTTCGCTGCAGGATCTGGTCGATGTCCTCCTAGCAGAAGCGATTGCCTTGACGTTCTCGTCCATGATGGCGGCGTAGGCTCCTTTCCTCAGCAGGTCCTCGATCTCCTTCTTGGAGAACTGCTGGACCGGCTAAAGGCGACGCAGAGAGACATTTACACAAGTGGATTTAGAAAACTCCTTTTGAAAATAAACTAAGCGTACTGCAACAGCGACTGACCCAAAAATGACTTGGCATCTAGAAATATGACAGATTTTCTTTTTCTCACCCCGTTGTTGTTGCCACTCATGCTCTGCAGTATGGTACGGTCCAGCCCGAGCTTCAGACTAGCTTTATCCAGCATTTCCCTCTCATAGTTTCTAGTGATCAGACAGTACACCTTCACCGCCTTAGACTGGCCAAAACGATGACACCGAGCTTGAGCCTGAAATAAAAAATTAAAAGAGGGGTCAAAAGAGCATCATGTGCAGCTGCTGTTCAACGTTTTTAAGCATTACATTGGAAAATAATATACACTTAAAGAACCGAGGGAATTAACGGAAAGACTGTTGTTGTTGTAGCCCTATTGAACTATCTTTAGGACAGACAGAGCAGATATATATATCGTACCTGCAGGTCATTTTGAGGGTTCCAGTCAGAGTGGAATATCACACAGGTGTCCGCAGCAGTGAGGTTCACAAGCTCTTGATCAGGTGTTTGATGTGGGCTGGCATGATCCTTTCTGCAGCGATGAATAAAGAAAACAAAGAAGACATTATTAATAATAGTAATGATGGTAACAACAATAATATTAGTATAACTATTTAAATAGCACTTACACAATAATTGCAAAGTGATTCTCACAACAAAAATAAAGAACAAAACAATATCAACAATAAAAAAACTAATTATTATAGGAATGTTAATACAAATAAACGATAAACATTCTAAGAGGCCGACTACAAAAGGTAGACTCAATGGCTCTCGATGACATCAATGAGCAGTCCCAAAACATGCTGCTGTATAAAAAGATATGTCCAGATTTCTTCTATTTAGTGTTGGATGATTTGTTTTATTGATTGCTGATGGATGTTAAGATATGTTTTACAATTATAACAAAAAGATTATTGTAATTGGAATCAAAAAGTTTACAAATCGTAGTTTTAATAAAATGACTAGCAATATAGGATTTATTCAACAGCGGTAAAGCATTAAGTTGCTAATTGAACGTACACTGAACTGTAAAACTTACCACTATTTAGGAAAGAACCTGATCAGAAGGATTGACTAGTAATGCAGCAAAGAGGTGGAGGAGGTCTCTGTAATGTACAACCATTGGTAGATGTTACACCTGAAAGAAAGATAAGGAAATAAGAGAAGACCAACCCAGTCTCACGGCATTTCGTGTTCACCAACACGATTTTTAATCTTTTGATTCATGTTCACCAACACGATTTGCCCCTTTTTTTTTTACAGGAAGATGCTGTGACTAATCTGTCAAAACTCTTTACAGTTATTTAAAATTAAATAACTAGGAAAAAGGGGAGATGTCACATATGCATACAATGCATACAGAGTTAAGGCTGTTATGACAGTGTTGCGACATGCTTTACGGCATGCGAGGGATGGCTTTACTTCAGAGTAAGCCTGCGAGTTGTGTTGTTGCTGCCTACTGTAATGTCTTGACTTACTGTACAATAAACCTGAGTCGTGAAAGATACTCGACCCTCGATCATTCTACATTAATCATGTTAAATGTAACACCAAAACCACAACACTTTACCCCGAAAAGCTCTAACACCAGGATTTTCACACTGGCGAATTTGCTGTGAACAATTATGAAAAATGTTAATGGAGGGGGGACGTAAAACTGACACAAAACAACAAACTTTTGCCGAGCCAATTGGAGAGTTTCATCACCAGCACGTGGTAAAAACCACCAATGAGGGCTCAGCTCGAGATACCAGCGAGTCGTTTCCCATCAAGCGTTTCGCTTCCGCAGCCCGTGGAGAGGAACTGCGCCGCCTCGCCGCGCCTCGCTCTCAAGGCTGCGGGCGTCTTTGTCCCGCGAGATTTCAACGTCTTATGTAGGCGAGCCTCCAGAGCAAGTCGGACAAAATGACTAATCATCATGCAACGCACTAGCAAGACGTTGATCGAAATTGCGCAGGTCTGCGCAGGTCTCGCTTGTCTCAAACAAGCCTAGAGATAAGTCCGCGCACTCTTTCTTAAAGAAAGATATATATTGTTCATATGGGAAGATTAAAATATGTGATGCCTTTTCTACTAGTCTACAAGTCTACTCTTTTTATTTTCGCACTGCAGCTTTGCGGCTGTAACACCTGTAAATGTCCCAGTTGCGGGACAAATAAAGGATTTCTGATTCTGTTGCAATATTATTAACCTCTTAAGCCCCAAGCCTGTTTTTCAGGTTTCAGGCTCGAAAATGACATGCCCAAAACAAAGGACTATAACTTAACTTCTAAAAGGGTTATATGAATAATTTCTTTTATCAAAGCAAGGTCACATCTGTGAGTTGGATGTAGAAGTGTCAGAATCAATAAAGATGTTTCAGTGTCAGAGTAAATCCAGATGGAACATAGTCAAAAAGTGTACATTTTTGTCTCCGCCCAAATAAAACCCATTACTTATAGTGAAAACCACCCTTGAATTATGGGTTAGTAGCCTAAAAGCTTTAGGAATCCAAAGTATAACATATAATAAGTACCCTGTATCAAGATTGAGGCAAAACAAGTGAGAATTGACCTTTTTAGAGAGATTTAGCAAAAAAAAGTCCAAAGCGGACTAAGCTTTGGGCACATTTGGGTACATTTGGTTCCATCAGTGCCATTTAACATTTTTCAGGTACCAGACTGTAAAAATCATTGTACAACATTTAATTATCACTATAGGTATTCATTCCATAAAAAAAAAAAAAATAATTATTGTTAAAAAAAAAAAAAAAAATTAAGTGGGTGTGTGTGTGGTGTGTGTGTGTGTGTGTGTGTGTGTGTGTGTGTGTGTGTGTGTGTGTGTGTGTGTGTGTGTGTAGTGTGTGTGTGTGTGTGTGTGTGTGTGTGTGTGTGTGTGTGTGTGTGTGTGTGTGGAGTGTGTGTGTGTGTGTGGAGTGTGTGTGTGTGTGTGTGTGTGTGTGTGGAGTGTGTGTGTGGAAAGTTCCCTCTTTGCATGAGATGCATGTTACTTGCACAATAAAAATGAGGAAACTTAGGAAACATTTGACTCCAACTGGAGCAGATTTATTAAAAAAAATTAGCAACACACTATACAACAAGCATTTTTTGGGTAAAAAAAAAAACTTTATACAAACCCTGAATGTTACAGTATTACTCCAGTAAGTCATGCCATGCCCTGTAAAAGTTATGTTTGGTAGTGAAGCACAGAGGGACCTGACACTTCCTGCAGTACACAGGTGTCTTCACCCTTCAGTTGCCAGCATCAGAGCACCTCCTGCAGTACCTCCTGACCTTGGTGGCATCTTCCCCATAATACTCGGGCATCCAGAAGCCATATCCTCATCGCCTTCCTCACTGTGAAAACAAATGTTGAAAAAACAAATAGATTAATTCTCTGGCTTGTACTTTCAAAAATGTAACTCAAATCAGAAATAATTTCTCTACAACAACAGCAGAACATCAATTTTGAGTGTTTGAAATAACATTATATCACTCAAAATGTATACCGTGTAAATTATGTGAGACGGGGTTCATATAATCTGTTCAATATTTAATATTAATATTCTGTCTGTCATATATGTGTATGTATATATATATATATATATATGTATGTATATGTATGTATGTATATATATATGTATATATATGTGTATGTATATGTGTATATATATGTATGTATATATATATGTGTATATATATGTGTGTATGTATATATATATGTGTATATATATGTGTGTATGTATATATATGTATATATATGTGTGTATGTATATATATGTGTGTATGTATGTATATATATATATGTGTATGTATATATATATATATATATATATATATACGTGTGTATGTATATATATATATATATATGCGTGTGTGTATATATATAGTTGTAAGTCACTTTGGATAAAAGCGTCAGCTAAATTAAATGTAATACCGTGTTAAATTCAACATGTATATGTCTTGTTTATTTCAACAACAAGAACAAGAAACGGCATCCATCTTCTTTGTTGTTGTTGAGTGTGTGAAAGAACATTATATCACAAGATGGATGCCGTCGTGTTATTGTCACGTGTGTGAAATTACTATAGATGAATACACTCTTACACCAAATAAATAACAAAAAGATAAAAACAGATGAATACTCTTACACCAAATAAATAAGTAATAGATACAAACAGAGAGAATCCATACCTTTCCGGTGACGGAGGTTCATAATCAGAGTCATTACTGTCCCCTTCGTGCGTGACGAGATCACTATCTTCCGACGGAGAGTCCTGAAATACGATGTCCAATGCCTCCTCGACGGACAAAAAAGTCTTCTTTCTGGCTACCATTGTTACAATGAAGACAAAGAAAACAAATTCTGCTGTTTCGCTGATCGATCTGCCGTTCTCTGCTCTCCTGTCACCGCGGGACATGCTATGCTACGCTACAGCCTAGTATGCAGCGTACAAAGACTGGGTCGTGCGTAAATCAGCTGATACTGCCTGTATTTATACTTACGCAAACTCCTATCTCTGGAACCCATTGGTCGATTTGGGTGATTGACACCTTTTTTGAATCGTTAGAGCCAATCGAATCGAGTAGCAGTTTCAAATTACGTAAATACGTCATGCCTGCGGAGGGGGAGCTATGCGTAAAAAGCAGCTCCCGCAGCTGAATCCACGGACTGTTAATCGTTGGACCTACTCTTCTGCCGTGAATGAAAGGATTGATTCTCAGTAATCATTTTAAAGTGACAAGAGACATTGGATTAACCCTGAGCAGCGTTTTTATTCCTTTGAACACAACTTTTGATCACAAAACAGCCAAGGTAAGACCTAATTATTGTCAGGGATTTGAAAACTGATATTGTTTACTTGCTATGTTGTGGCTGCCAGCTCGGTTAATGTTGTGCCTGTAGTGATGGGGTGTACACCCATGGAATCTGTGGAATCTCAGCTTTCAGAAAATGTGTTGTTTGTGCGGAAAGGATGAATTATAAATGATCGTTTTTGTGAGTTATGAGCAGACATAGCAATTGCCCGTTTTTGACATGGGGTCATTTAGAGGCTTCTTGTGAGACTTCTTTTTCGAAAAAAAATTTTTTTTTCGTATCGTCAGTAAGCCAAGTTTCCGGTCAGATGGGTATGGAATATTAATAGTTTCATGAATGACACTTCAGATATAGCACTGTTGCTACATATATAGCATTTTCGGACCCGAGCTCGGGTCCGTGGGGCTTAAGAGGTTAAATTAGTAGCAATCACGGCAATAATGATTTTTAATAAAAATTAAAAGAGGGGTCAAAAGAGCATCATGTGCAGCTGCTGTTCAACGTTTTTAAGCATTACATTGGAATATAATATACACTTAAAGAACCGAGGGAATAAACGGAAAGACTGTTGTTGTTGTAGCCCTATTGAACTATCTTTAGGACAGACAGAGCAGATATATATATCGTACCTGCAGGTCATTTTGAGGGTTCCAGTCAGAGTGGAATATCACACAGGTGTCCGCAGCAGTGAGGTTCACAAGTTCTTGATCAGGTGTTTGATGTGGGCTGGCATGATCCTTTCTGCAGCGATGAATAAAGAAAACAAAGAAGACATTATTAATAATAGTAATGATGGTAACAACAATAATATTAGTATAACTATTTAAATAGCACTTACACAATAATTGCAAAGTGATTGCAAAGTCTCACGGCATTTCGTGTTCACCAACACGATTTTTAATCTTTTGATTCATGTTCACCAACACGATTTGCCCCTTTTTTTCGTGTTGCACAGCACGATTTTAAAAGCAATGTATTTCTACTGCCTGCAGCACGTCTTTTTCTCCGGTCGGGTCGAGGAAGACCGGAAGCTGTGTGGTTCATAAAAACATGTTCTTACTCAATATCAAGCCACAGTTATTGCTTTTATTTGAAATCGTATAATTTCGGACTTTTGTTGCCGTCTGTGAGGAAAATAAATGGGGCTCAGAGCCTCAGAATACGGAAATCTGTATTTTTAAATATTTTTTTCCTTCTAATTCGATATTCTTTTCAAAATAACACACTGTTATTTACTCACCAATAACACACAATTATCCTTGCTTATTATTGGTTTAATTCCATAATCTCGGGCTTTTTTGGCGTCCGTCAGGAACTGAATTTCAAAATAAAAAATAACCGGAAACAGACGTAGGCCTATAAGGGACATTTCGAGCATCATTGCGATTGTCAACATTTCTGAGTTTAGGATGGCCGAAGACACTACACTACCCATAATCCCCAGCTATCGTTTAGGACTACAGTCCCCGTAAGGTTACGCAGTGCGTCAAACAGCTGTGTGAAATGGAACGAAACCACGCCAGACTATCCAAAACTGGAATCGAACGCCCCCCCAGAACTACACATGCTGGCTATTGTGTTTCGCAAAATGTTCTATGGGACGTCTCTACTGAACGTTTTCGTTTTTCCCACAATTAGAAGTTGCCAGTATTAAACACATTGGTGTTATCAAATGTAAAACATATAATTAATAAATGGGTGAAAATCGCTTGTGTCCATAATGCGCAGCATTAATACCCACATGACAGCTCATTGTTACTTTGTAATTCTACTCCACTACAATTCAGAGGTTAACCTGGTATTTTTACTCCACTGCATTTATTTGAGTTACTTTGCAGATTCTGATTAATTATGTGAAATATAAACAACCCTTAAATCAGACTTTAGTTACACCTGAGTAAAATTCAGGTACGGTGATTGTCAAGTGCCAACAATCAGGAGAGATATTTGATAGTTGGTGCTTGAGAAGACTAAACATGTATCTGCAATTGACATGAATGGAAACGAGTAATAAAGTATATTCATTACTCGTTATTCTCTACTAATAGTTAATTAAAGACTGTATATTATGGCTATTTTGCACATCCCTTTCAAGATTTTCAAAGGTGTATTGACATATCATATACACAACTACAGTGTAGTTATGCAATGAATGAAACACTTGGGTCACAGGTTCCTCAACAGTGCATTACAAGACATCTATCAATATGTGTGTGCCTCCACCATTAAACTGTCATATTCTGCACATTTCTTATTCTATCTACATACATAAGAGTATAATTCATATGTATAATATCAGTTAAAATAAGTGCTTCAACATAGTTAACATTGCAGGAAAGCAATATATTAGACTTTAAGTACTTTGTCAGGCTTAATATTTATCTGTAGATAGATACCCCCAAAGTTTTTTTCTTATTTAAAAGAAGACCTTAATCTGTTATTTAATGTTTAAATAAAGGTTAATTCGTTTTTCTGTTTTGCACCTCCTCCTATTAATATCTTTGTACATGCTGCACTAAACTGTTTTATTGTAGAGATCACTTATAGTATCTTCTTGATTTTTTATATTCTATATTTATACTTTCCCCCTATGAAAGTATGTACTCTTAATATGTTTTTAATCAAATAAAACACAATAATTCAATAACGTGCTTTAACCACTAGGCGGTGCACACAAGGTACACACAGCCATAATAACTTTGTATTATTAGTGTAGGACACTTTTGTTTTCGTACAACATCTGAAGATGTGTAGTTTTATTCATGCTTTCACATAATTTGACAGCATATTGCTATACTATTTCAGACTCAGTATTTACATTCTTACATTCAAAGAAAATCAGTAATATCTTTAAAAACTACAGTCCTTTTATATCAGCTGTGCACCGTTATGGTGTAAATATAACCTATCTGTGAATTAGATCAAATGTAAAAGTCAGCCGAATTAGTGTTGATACTGCAAGGAGACGTATTGTGTGAAGTGAAATTGAAGATGTTGTTTAATTGTTGAATATATTTATGATCCACGTCAAGTATTCAGTTTCGGCAGCATTTTCTCAGTTTTTCCAAAGGTCTTCTCATCAGGGCTCTATAAATAAAGAACTACGGCAGATCTGTAATATACAATGCAGCCGAACCGTGTATTACAATGCCGTTATGTGATGACTTTCAAAGAGAATAGCAAGAGCGCTCGGAATTAAGTATTATTTTATTCTTTTAAAATGTTTTCCGGATTTCATATAATATAAACACCAAATCCCAGCATGCATTGCGGCTAAAACATCCAATAAGCGAGCTTAAAACCATAGCTGAGGATCTTGGGTAATCGCTCGAAATGCCTACGTCTGTTTCCGGTTATTTTTATTTTGAAATTCAGTTCCTGACGGACGCCAAAAAAGCCCGAGATTATGGAATCAAACCAATAAATAAAAGCAAGGATAATTGTGTGTTATTGGTGAGTAAATAACAGTGTGTTATTTTGAAAAGAATAACAAATTAGAAGGAAAAAAAGATTTAAAAAATACATATTTCAGTAACCTGAGGCTCTGAGCCCCATTTATTTTCCTCACAGACGGCAACAAAAGTCCAAAATTATACGATTTCAAATAAAAGCAATAACTGTGGCTTGATATTGAGTAAGAACATGTTTTTATGAACCACACAGCTTCCGGTCTTCCTCGACCCGACCGGAGAAAAAGACGTGCTGCAGGCAGTAGAAATACATTGCTTTTAAAATCGTGCTGTGCAACACGAAAAAAAGGGGCAAATCGTGTTGGTGAACACGAATCAATAGATTAAAAATCGTGTTGGTGAACACGAAATGCCGTGAGACTGGGTTGAGAAGACAGGAGGACAAACACCTTCTTAAGTAAAAGACGAAATCATGTCAAGCTTTACATCTTTCAGTCTTTACAATGCACTGTTGGAAATTACATTGCAAAGGCTACATTCAAACTCAATACCATAAATAACTGGGTACCAAAGTGCTTTAGCTGATAGAACACGTTCCACACAGAGCAGCAACCATCCGGCTTTTGCTGCATATCATCTCCTCCCTCTCTACTGTTTCCAGTAGATATCTACTGCCTCTGTCCAATAAAACTGAAATGCCCCAAAACAATCATATTTAAAAAGTTAAAAACAATAACTTGCTTTTGGCATTCAAATGTATTAGAATCTCACCTTTTTCCTGGATGTCAGGAAGGCGTTCCCTTCAAGTCCGCAACCAGTCATAGGAGTTCAAATGCAAAGCCTGAACGATGACAAGAGTGGGAGACTTACATGTTACAAGACAAGTAATACCAGAGCAGTGTTTAGGACATGCAGAGAACAGATCAAATCCCTTGACAGACTCACACACTTTGGTGATGTCCTCATCTGATAATGATGTTTCATTTTTAGCAGCAAAGTAACATTACTCAAGGTATATGTTGGACCCAACTCATGTACAGTATGTTTTGCATCTCCTCAACAATGGTCTGTATAGTTGAGTAGAAACAAACTGTCCCTACAGTTTCAGGTAGATTAACAAAGAAAAGTTTGCATTGCAATGAAGCACAAAACCCCTCTTTGTATTAAGTTAGCTGCCACAGAAAGTACAGCTTAACATGCTAACCTGGTAGAGTTAGCTAACGTTAGCTAACTTCATGTCCAACTAAAAACCTCTAACGTGCATTACATTGACGATTTTAAACACAACTTAACTCTCAACTTGTAAAATAACTTTAATTTAACATACCCTTAAATAACTACATCACGTTTTTCAGGGGCAACACAAACTGCAGAAAACGTTAGCTGCTAACTGTTGTTAGCTAAGACAGCTAGCTCGTAACAATAGCCTCCTAGCAAACGTACGGTTACGTTAACATTAACTTAACGTTGTAAGAAAGCAAAACGAACCTTCGAGACATATTTTATTCTCAGACTGGGTGTAATTGTGTAGCGTTGCTTACCTCCAGAACGACATTTAGCCGTTTCCCAGTAGAGACTAGAGAGAGCTGTCAGAGCGGTTGCTCTCAGAAGAGCAGCATTGGGCGGACTAGACAAGACCAGGGGCCTCATTTATAAAGGGATATACGCTCAAAAAATGGCGTACGCCAGTTTCTACGCAAAGTTTGCGATTTATAAAATACCAACTTGACGGGAAAACGTGCGGTCCTCCACGCAAACTCTAACCCATGCGTACGCACTAAGCACAACAACGGGAGAGACGAGAAACTGCGACACCGTTGGCAGAAGGAAGAATGGAGAGAAATATGTGGAAATAATACCATCAATAAAATGTTACCTCTCATTTATCATATATGAAGAATTCATTTTCAAACATTGATTAAAGCCAATCTTAAAATGATTAAACAAACGCCTGTTTGCGACTCCTCAGTGCACACAAAAACATAACTTGGAGAAATAAATAAATCCGGATATGTTATTTAAAACCACCTGGAATATGTTGTGTTAATGTTATGAAATGTTTTCTCATAAATGATGCGGTAAGCAGGAGGACAGAATTACGTCTAAACTGACGCCGTGTTGCATTTCTATAGGTTGTAGATACGAGTGTGGTGACACGTTATTGGACATAATTCACCTTGCTTATTGTGTTGCCACACGGACCCTTTAGTGGGGAACACCTGTAGCTTTAGCTGCCATTCCTGCTAGCTCATCAGGCAGAGCAGTGCATGTGTTAACCTCTCTGAAAGTAATGGATAATAAAGATTGGAACTCCATTCTTAATACACCGCCTCCGACTCTCTTTTCACGGCACTACACTGGTGACCCTGACTTTTCCGAGAAAGTTTCCGGAAAATTAACGAACATGGCTGAGCGCGATGTTTTCATAAAGCTGCCGGAATTCTGGGAGCACGCCGCGGAGGCATGGTTCGCACACGTGGAGGCACATTTCGCCTGCCGACAGGTCCGTGACGGGGACCTAAAATACTACCATGTGGTAGCAGCGCTGGGGAGCTCCACGTCGTCCAGGTTGGTGGGATTCATCGCAGCCCCCCCACATCATGGCAAATATGAGGCGATTAAGGCCCTTCTCCTTAAGACATTTAGCTTATCTGCTAAGGAGAGGGCCCGCCAGATACTTGACATTCAAGGCCTAGGAGACAGCAAGCCATCCCAGCTAATGGAGAAAATGCTAAATCTGCTAGGGGGGGAAGATCCCCGGATTTTATTCACGGAGATTTTCCTGCGTCACTTGCCTCCCCGGGTACAGACGGCGCTGGCCAACACGCCTGTAACGGAGCCCCGTGCTTTGGCTGAGGAAGCGGATCGTTTTTTCCTGGCTACGCAACAGCCCGGGGCAGAGACGTTACCCGCGACGCTCAGCGGCCCATCGGCAGTCAAGAAAGTGTGGCGGAGGCCGGACACGGCTGTGGCTAGCCGGCGTGGAGACGCCGGAGAGTGCGTTTACCACGCACGTTTCGGGACAAGGGCGAAGAGATGCATCGCTCCGTGCAGCTACAAACCCCCGGGAAACGGAGGGGCCGGCGCTCAGTAGTGGCTCTGAGCGTCGGCGGCACGTGCAGGCTCCTCTTCGTCAGCGACAGCGTTTCGGGGAGCTTGTTTCTGTGTGACACGGGCGCTCAACGGAGCGTAGTTCCAGCGTCGAGTGAAGACGTCGCCCGTGGGGGGCACGGACCGCGATTGACGACGGCTAACGGCAGTCCCATTCGCACGTACGGCGTGAGGCCTATGTGTTTGTGCATCGGAGGACAGCGTTTCAGCTGGGATTTTGTGACAGCGGACATTTCTTTTCCCCTCCTCGGAGCGGATTTTTTGTGTGCTCATGGACTCTTAGTGGACGTTAAGAATAGGCGTTTGGTTAATGCCTTAACGTTTTCTTCCCTCGTGTGCACACTTGGCAGCGCAGCGTACGACGGGCTGTCAGGCTCGCTGTCAGGTGCAGACACGTTTCTCAGACTGTTGGCCGAGTTTCCAGACCTGTCGCTACCCACCTTCTCTGCGCTTACCACTAAGCATGGCGTGGAACACCACGTCACTACCGGGGGGCCTCCTGTCTACGCCAGGGCCCGGCGGTTGAACTCTTCTAAGCTGGCTGTAGCGAGGGCGGAGTTCGCAACCATGGAGCGCCTGGGCATTGTCCGCCGCTCCGACAGTCCTTGGGCTTCCCCCCTGCACGTCGTTCCCAAATCGAACGGCGGGTACGGCCCGTGCGGGTTCCGCCCGTGCGGGGATTACCGCCGACTCAACGACGCCACTACGCCTGACAGCTATCCGGTGCCGCACATTCAGGACTTTTCGGCGCATCTGGCCGGTACGGGGGTGTTTTCCAAGGTGGACCTGGTGCGTGGATACCACCAGGTGCCCATGCACCCCCTGGACATTCCCAAGACAGCAGTGATAACGCCTTTTGGACTTTTTGAGTTCCTGCGGATGCCTTTTGGACTCAAGAATGCCGCTCAGACGTTCCAGCGCCTGATGGATTCGGTGCTGCGGGAACTGCCGTTTGTGTTTGTTTACCTCGACGACATACTCGTCGCCAGCGTTTCAGTGCAGGAGCACCTGTCCCACCTCCGAGCCCTTTTCACACGGCTCAACGAACACGGATTAATCATCAATCCTGCAAAGTGCCAGTTCGGGGTGTCGGACATCGATTTCCTGGGGCACCGCGTCACCAAGGGCGGTGCGACACCTCTGCCAGCGAAGGTGGAGGCTGTTGCGGCGTTTCCTCGCCCGCTCACAGCCCGGTCGCTCCGTGAGTTTCTGGGGATGGTGACTTTCTACCACCGTTTCATCGCCCGGGCCGCACACATCATGCGGCCGCTGTATGAAGCGTTGAAAGGCAAGACCCCCGTCCAGGAGATCGACTGGACAGCAGAGGCGGACGGCGCTTTTGCTGAGGTCAAGACCGCGTTGGCTCAGGAGGCTTTGCTGGCACACCCATCATCTACGGCTCCCATCTCCATCACCACGGACGCGTCAGACTACGCGGTCGGCGCAGTGCACGAGCAGTGGGTGGAGGGCGCTTGGCAGCCGCTCGCCTTTTTCAGCCGCCAGCTGACGCCTAGAGAACGCAAATACAGCGCCTTTGACCGGGAGCTCCTCGGACTTTATTTGGCCGTGCGGCACTTCCGTTTCATGCTGGAAGGCCGTGAATTTACGGCGTTTGTCGACCACAAGCCGCTCACCTTCGCCATGTCAAAAGTGGCGGAGCCTTGGTCGGCACGTCAGCAGCGGCAGCTGTCCTACATATCGGAGTTCACTACGGACATTAAGCACGTGGCTGGCAAGTCGAACCTGGTTGCTGATTGCCTCTCCAGGGTCGTCATCGGTGCCGTCCAGTTGGGCCTGGACTATACTCGCATGGCGGCAGACCAGGTCACCGATCCCGGCGTCCAGGCCCTGAAGGTGGAGAGCGCGGGGTTGCGCTTGGAGGACGTGGTGTTCGGCGACGCGGGCATTACTCTCCTGTGTGACGTCTCTACGGGCCTGGTGCGGCCTGTCGTCCCTGCCAGCTGGAGGCGTCCTGTGTTCGAGGCTGTGCACGGCCTGTCACACCCTGGCGTTAAACCTTCGGTGCGTTTGGTAGCGGCGAAGTTCGTTTGGCAAGGACTGAAAAGGGACGTGAGGACTTGGGCCAGGGAGTGCGTGGCTTGTCAACGCGCTAAGGTGCACCGCCACACGAAGGCCCTGTTGGAGCGTTTCCTGGTGCCTGAGAGGAGGTTTGATCACGTCAACATTGACCTGGTCGGTCCGTTGCCTTCCTCTCAGGGGTTTTCCTACCTCCTCACCATGGTGGACAGAACGACCCGTTGGCCGGAGGCGGTTCCGCTCGTTTCGACATCAGCCGCAGACGTTGCCCGGGCCTTCATTGCAACGTGGGTGTGTCGTTTTGGCACCCCGTCAGACATTTCCTCAGACAGGGGCTCTCAGTTCACGTCCGAGCTCTGGAACGCTGTGGCAGGCGGTTTGGGGGTTAAGCTGCACAGGACTACCGCTTACCACCCTCAGGCTAACGGCCTCTGCGAGCGCTTTCATCGCTCCATGAAGGCGGCCCTCAAGGCCGGCCTTACGGACGGTAACTGGGTCGACAAGCTGCCCTGGGTGATGCTGGGCCTGAGGACCGCACCTAAGGAAGATCTGCAGTGTTCTACAGCGGAGATGGTCTACGGTCAGCCGCTGAGAGTTCCGGGGGATTTCCTCCCAAATGCATCGGCTCCCTGGTCGGCGTCGGCCCAGCGGGCTTTCCTGCGTGACGCCGCTGAGGCCTTTGCTCCGATCCCT